TTGTACTGCAGCTCGGCGTACAACTGTGCCTTAACATTCGCCAACTGTATGACATTTTCTTATTGCGAATATTATTCCGCTTTTTATATATTCTAAATTTCGACGCTGTCGATCCCATTTGTGAACTAAGGACTACAGTTATTGACTATTGCCAAGGTTTGTACAAAATGAACTTTGCTTGCAACTATTTCGATCCCCATGTATTACATGGCATAGCCGCATGTTTGTTGATTACCGGCTTCCTCATGATTAACATACGATCCTCATAATCATAACTGAGACTATCGTTATGGCCTTCCATTTGTCATCGTCTTATAGTTTCTTATCTTATAGCTCTTATCATTCACATCATCTTCACGATTGTCTTCATGTTTATCAAATGCGACACGCTAGAAAGTGTTACCGTACTCATCGCCTATAACAGTGAAAAAATATAAACTCATAAAGGACTGACGAGACTAAACCGAAAGAAATTAATGAGTTATTTCCTAAGTTATGAGTTTTGATCGTCGATGTTGCACAGCATGTTCCAATGAATGGAATAATCAAAAGTTCATATATTCTGATTCTATCATATATACGACGTAATCTAGCGTCGCAAATTGCACAACACATCGATAAGAAAAACTGAACACCCACTGCATGATTCTGGCAGTACGGTAAAATGATTTGTCGGCTGCATCATTCAATCAACGGTTCGTTATACTATAGAATACACATGTAAGATCAGTTACATTCACCTTCACACAAGGTATACTCATAACAGCAACGCTAACGGCCTAAGATTGAAATTATTTTAAGTCAGCTGCTTTCGTTCTTTTGCGTTTCTAAACGTCATGAGAAAATGACAGGCTATATAACTGATAAACTTCGATTCTAGGTAATAACGCGTTTAAAGTTCTTCTTTGGTCCTTCACTTGATGTTCACACGAACGACGTACTTTAAAATTCAGATGCGTTCCAAGAATAAAACAAAACACGTAAAAGAAAGATAGTGGTAATAACTGCCGGTCAAGTAAAAAGATAAGACCATTTGTTTCTATTGCGTTTAAACGTCGTCACATTGTTCGGTCATACGATGCAACGAGCAGCTTGGTAGCGCAGCCCCACCCCCAGTTACGTGACTCGGTTACGCGATGCCTGTGCGATGAGTTACATACGTTCACAGATCCGAAAGTTTAACGCAAAAAAAATCTGCCCTCCAGATTAACAACAGCAAGGAGAACATCCGTATCACCCTTAAGCGTATGAAACTGGTACCTTGCATTTCTTGGTGCTTTAGTTTGATTTTTGATTTTTAACGTTGCCGGCAGTTATACGACGTAATCGCATAAGCAGCCCAGATGACCTCTAAAGTAGGCCACGCATCAATGGCATTTTAGCACCTGCGATGGATCGCCGCAAAGCGAAAAACTGACAGGAAATAACTCTTGTTACCGACGATATCGACAACTAGCACCATTATGAAAAAATTTTTCTAGTCTTTAAATTCTGTTCGATTCTCCTCTTGTGGTATTATGAAAGGTTAACTACTTCCTACGAGAAGAATCAGCAACAGAATTACCGTAAGATGTGTTGGGATCTGGAACAAAAGCAAAAATTTGAAAATTAATCCTTCTACTAGTCTATAGAAAGGCACAGCAATTACGCCATTTGTGATTTTGAAAGATTGAAAGCTTTCTGTTCGATCCGGATTGCAATAAAATAAAAATATCTCACTGTCATTCAGCATGGAGGAAAAAACTTGTAAATTTAAAAATGATCAAATATAGAAAATAACTTGAAACAGGTATGAACATGGACAAGCTTATTCACCAAACTGTCAAAATCAAAGGTAGATCAATTAGAACAGAAACAGGCACGCTTTAATGTCTCTAATCATTCCAGAATCACCTGCCTGAACCTATCACAGGACCGCAAAATAAGGGTCAAGGTTTGCTTTACAAAATTCGTTACGACTACAGGACAGAGTTGTAACTCGATGAGGGCGGCATGCACTATTTATTAAGTACGCCGCAGAAGGTCACAAAGTTATTATCCATTTAAAGCTTGTCAGAGAAATGCGTGTTGTGGTCACAAAAAATTAATAAACTACCTGTTTCATTTTCCGTACTTTTGCCGTTTCTAATCGTTACTGTAGTTTCAAATTTAGTGTAGTCTGACAACCTTCATGATTGTTCTATGCTTTGTTTTGTCCTTTTATTAGAGTACAAGGACATGTACTTTATTACGCACAGCTAAAATAATTGATAACGTCCACGATTTGCCAAGAACACTCAAGTTGTCAGCCAGCGAGGCAATCGAAAAAGAGCTTGATACCTCCCTTTGGGCGTTCAACGCCAACGTTTCGAAAAAGATATTCTGGCTACTAACTCTGTCGAAAGAATTTAAGGCTACATCTTCGTAATATTCCTGGAATGAAAAGCGAGTGCACCATTTACTCATGCGCAGCCCTCTGAAGAGAAGATGATAAATCACTGGCAATTAGAGGAGATTTTGAAAATGCACATGGAAGATATCGGAAGACGAAGATAAACTATTTAATGCGTCGTTGGTAGGGGAATAATCATAACGATAATTCAGCTGCTACTTTTACTCTACAGAGTAAATTTTAAAAATTGAACTGATGCGGCATCATTTGGTAACTGAAAGGAGATACAACTTTTGAATAACTATTTGTCAGTTAATGATAATCGATGCCAGTTCAATTGAAAAATAGTATCGGCGTTAAGTAAAGCATTTCCTCTCATCTTTCGCGCATAAAAATTTGAGTCACAGGACTTTGCGATTAACCGTCAACTATACTTAAGCATCAGTGTCGTCATTATTTTGAATGATTGCTTAGATAGGCGTTTGTCAGTGTTTCCTTGTCGACGATGCAAATCAAGAATCTGCGATTTTATTTAAAAGAAGTTTCGATTTAAATCACAAACAACTGCTAGTTCTCACATAATCTACATCAAGTTATCTGTTGTAGTAGGCAGAAGCGGCTATCTACTTTTCTGCGGTTCGACACCCTGTGTCGTAAAAAAACAAAACCATCGTTTCAAAATTAAGTGAAAATTTACATGCAGCTACAGGTCAATTCAAATTAAATTTGATGCGAAGGTCGTCTTCAAATTCATGTAGATGCTGATCTTTTAGCATCCGGATCAGGTGAGGCACCACTGATCGCCTGAAGGTCCCTGTCCA